CCACCTCGTCCTCCTCGCTTGCCTCCCCGCTGGCCACCCTTCTCCTCGGTCTTGCCCTCACCCTCCTTCTCGGGGCTGGTCAGGTTGGCAACGGCCAGTCGCTGAGAAAGGTCGATCTGGGTGCGGATGGTGTTGGCCAGGTAGCTGACCATGAGAACATCCTGGATGTGGTTGTTGAAGTCGTGCTCGATCTGTTCGGGGTCGACCTTGGGGGCCAGGGACAGGGCGTTCATGAGGTACTGGCCGATAGCGTTGTTGGGCTCCTCATCCTCATCGAGGACGCCGTTGATCCACTCGCTCGCCCGGTCGAGGAGGTTGATTGTCTGCTCGATAGATCGGCCGAGGCCCTCAATGTCGGAGACGAGGGGAGCTGTCCGTGACTCGGCATCCTTGGCGCTGGCAATGGTCTCGAGGGCGCTTCGGTCGGCATCGCCGTAGAGGACCTTGTGGGGAACCTGGATGAAGAGGCAGCTGTCGGCAGCCCGCTCGGCGTTGACGGCGACGGGAGCGCTGATGTAGCATCGGGTCTGAATGTCCTCGCCGGGCTCGGTGGAGATGGTCATGTGGATGGCGGGGTGGGGGAAGGTGCCCGTATCAGGGCTGCCGAAGAAGTTCTGGATGAGGGCGCTGAAGCTGTTGAGCTCGTGCGAGGTGGTGTACCAGCCGAGGAGGTGCTCGCGGGGGGAGGCCTTGAGGGTCAGGGCGAGCATGTTCTTCTGGTACTCGACATCGACCTCGACTTGGTCCTCCTCCTCGGTGTGAGGGATGGCGAAGCAGGAGCGGACCTCAACTTCGGTGCCATCTTCAGATCGGGTGCCGACGAGGGCGCCGATGACTCGGGTGGATTGAGTGTCTCGAATGTCTCGTCGAACGGCGTGGTCGAGGATGGAGAGGACGGCCTAGAGGACAGACAAAGGTCCAGTTAGCCAAGGCAGTCCCTTGCAGAGGATATCCAGACAGGTTCAGGATGCATATATCGAGGCGCCGAGGTGAGAGGGGTTATCGCAATCGTACCTGAGGCTGGATGTTGACCGTGAGCGGGGCAAGGTTAGTCTGGAGTCCGACGGTATTGGGCGCCAGAGGCCTCGCGAGGTGGATGAAGCTCTCGGTAGCAGCAGCCATACTGGGCAACTGATCTCGGGGGCTTTGGGGGGTGAGGAGGAGGATTTGTGGTGTAGGTGGAGAGGAGAGGTAGGAGGTTAAACCACGAGGTTCAGATTCAGAGACCGGGCCGGAGTTTCGCGATGCCGTCCAAATTTTGAAGATTTCCACGTTGGTTTGGCGGGACGGGCGCTGGGGTTGTGCGCGCTAAGATTAGAGATAAGACCGGGCTTGTGGCGTGTGCCGAGACGGTGATCCACATTACCCCACCAAAGTGTGGCTTGTGAAGGCAAGGCTGAGGTAGCCTCACAACTTTTTTTTCTTGCAACCGCGACGGAAGGGTTTCTGCAAGTTTCAACGGTCGAATTTTGAACCACTTTTCCTTGTTTTGAAGTGATTCACTACTTGGTTAGACACCATGGCTCCCCGTGGAAGAGGTGGCAATTTCAGAGGTCGTGGAGGTCGGGGAAGAGGTAGAGGCGGTCGAGGCAGAGGAAGAGCAACCAGTCGGTTTGGACCTAATCGGCGATTTGATGGAGCTCGACTTGCAGATAATGATGAGTAAGTCTACCAAATGTTTTACTCTTATCATTCTTCCGGAGAGTTCTCATACTAATTCTCTTCTTCCTAGGTCAGAAAGTTCTGGTTCCGAAGCAGAGTCTGCTCCTGAAGACGAGGTGATGGGCGATGTCGATTCAGACGCCGACGACGATGACGAAGATGAGCAATCTTCTAAACCCTACATGGCTCTTCTACAGAGCTTTACCGAAAACAATGCGCCCAAGGCTAAGCGACGGAAATTGGAACACCAGGAAGCTCAAGGACAACCTGAAGAGTCCTCAGATGACGAGAAGGCCGATGAGGAAGAGGAAGAGAAGGATATTGACCGAGCCGAGGAAGATCCCGAGGACCAGGACGCCGAGGAGCAAATAGAAGACGACGACGATTCAGAAGATGAGGACAACCTGACGGATCCCTTCGACACGCACTTTGCGCATCCCGACGACGACACGGTCGCAAAGCGAGTCAAGGCAGTACAAAAGGGGGAGTGGGCGACCAAGAGGGCCTTGATACAAAACCTAAGAGCCACCGTCACATATCCCAGCTCCGATGCAGGATCCGAAGTACCCAAACCTATGGCCGGTCCCGACGGTCTCAGCCTCAAGCAGAAGCTCAAGGAGACGGCAGCCCGCAAGATTGGCGAGTTCGATGCTGCGCAGCGCGCTTTCAGCCCCTTGCTCTTCAACTATAGCGACGTCTTGCACTGCGACCGCACCGTTCGGAACTCGGATTCTTTGCGAAAGTTGACATGTCTTCATGCCCTCAACCACGTCTTCAAGTAAGTTTCCCAGCCGCCGAGAGATTACAGTTCCGATTACTAACTCAGACAAGGACGCGAGATCGGGTCATCAAGAATAACTACAAGCTGGCCAAGGAAGGACAGGATACGGAACTAGAGCTTCGAGACCAGGGCTTCACCCGTCCGAAGGTGCTCTTCCTCCTCCCCACTCGCAACTCGTGTCTCCGAATTGTCAACATTATTCGTGACCTCTGCGAGCCAGACCAACAAGAAAACCGCAAGCGCTTTGAAGAAGGCTACGTCGACAAGGAGGCCAAGTTTGGCGATGATAGGCCAGCCGACTTCCGAGATCTCTTTGAGGGCAGCGACGACGACATGTTCCGCCTGGGCATGAAGTTTACCCGTAAGACGATCAAGTACTTTTCGCAGTTTTACAACTCGGATATCCTCTTTGCCAGTCCTCTCGGTCTTCGAATGGCCATTGGATCTGAAGAGGATAAGAAGCTTGACTTTGACTTCCTGAGCTCAATCGAGATGGTGGTTGTAGATCAGGCTGATGCTCTCCTCATGCAGAACTGGGAGCACGTCGAGTTCATCTTTGAGCATCTCAACCTTCAGCCCAAGGACGCTCACGGCTGTGACTTTAGTCGTGTGAGGAACTGGTACCTAGAGGACTGGGCAAAGCATTTTAGACAGACCGTCATCTTGTCTGCCTTTAACACGCCCGAGCTCTCAGAGTTGCTCAGACTGCACTGTCATAACTGGGCTGGAAAGGTCCGCCTGCAGCCTGAGTACCCCGGGTCACTGTCACAGCTCGGCGTTAAGCTGAAGCAGACCTTTTCGCGGTTCCGGTCTAGCTCGGTTGACAAGGACCCCGATGCCAGGTTCGAGTACTTTACCTCGGCCATTGTGCCTTCGCTTGCTAAGCGGGCAAAGGATGCTACTGGAACTCTCATCTTCATCCCTTCATACCTCGACTTTGTCCGTGTGCGCAACTACTTTGCGACCTCAAGCGCTGTTGAGAATGTCACATTTGGGGCAATCTCAGAGTATGCAGATGTCCCTGAGGCATCTCGCGCACGCTCCCACTTCCTTAACGGCCGTCACCGTGTTCTGCTGTACACTGAGCGAGCTCACCATTTCAGACGGTACCAGCTCCGCGGCGTGCAGCGTGTCATCTTCTACGGACTGCCCGACAATCCCATCTTCTACAATGAGATTGCAGGTGGTTACCTGAGCAAGAGCGAACAGGACATGAGGCTTGAGCCTGGACAGGGGAGCGTCAAGGTTGTGTTTTCCAAGTATGATGTCATGAAGCTGGAGCGCATCGTGGGCTCCAAGAGAGTGGGAAAGATGATTCAGGAGCGCGGTGATACCTTTGAGTTTATATAGATGTTGTCCCTGGGCAGATAATTTGATAGAGCTCTGACGCACAAACTGTCGAGGTATTCGTCAATGGATTAAAAGCACAATGTGTCATGATATAGTAATTGGTACAGATTTTGTACAGAGTTTTCATCCCGCTCGTCAAATGTTACAACTCAGCTTCATGAGCTCTTTGGTTGTTGTGTCGCCTTCTTGACTGACTCTGGCACGATGCCCGCCGCCATCTCCTTCGCCTTCTCGGCGTTCTTATCCGCCGTCTTCTCGGCCTCGACTTCTGCCAAGCTGCTCTCATCTCGGGGCTTAGCATCGCTAGCAACATTCTCCCCTTCGACCTTGAGTAGCAGGAACCTTTGTACCATGTCCTCAAGTGGCTGCTTGCCGCGGAACTGCGTCACCTTCTTGATGTTGGTCTGGGTGACGGGGGTGTGCTCCTGGCCGAGCATGCGGTCGCGAGCGATGGTCTTGGCCGTCATCATGAAGCGCGAGTCCTTGGGGCCATCGACGAACTCGAGGATGGCGCTCTCGCCCTGGTCGTAGGTGTTCTTGGACTCTGTGCGGACGACGCGGGTGTAGCCACCCTCACGGGTGAGGTATCGGTTCCTTAGCACTCCCATAAGCTTAGGGAGGAGGATGTGTGGTGTCTACAATGGAGATTGTCCTATCAGCATCATGTCCCTCGCAATTGATCCGACAATAACGACCCCTCATGTCGACGTACGTATAGAATGCCCTGTGCTGATCTCCGCGAGGGCTCATTGTCCTTCTTGGCCAGGGTAATCAGCTTCTCCGCCATGCGCTGAGCCTCCTTTGCCTTTGCATAAGTGGTGTGAATGTGTTCATATTTGACGAGCTGGGTGACGAGACCGCGCAACAGGGCCATACGAGCCGCAGAGTTGCGGCTCAGATGCCGGTACTTGACGAGGCCACCAGCCATTGTAGCGGATGGCTAGAAGCGCGGGGTCGTAGAGGTATACTTCGGCTCGATGCGATATCAATTCGAAAGGACCGGAGGCCGACTTTTGGCTCGTCGTGGTTGTGCACGTGGGCGGCTCCTCCGATCTGCCGCTTCTCTTGGTGGTGGTGCTCGTTTTGGTGGTTTGCAGTGGAAATTTTTGGCTTGGAATTTTCGGAGCCGGCACGTCTCGTCTGCCGAGAACGGCAAAGAGAGACAGAGAGGGCCTGAGATCCATTGGAAGCTACGTCAACCCACCACCAAACCTTACAACATCCCCCTCCAAGGGAATTAATTACACGCGATCCTGGGGGCAATTGAGCTCTGGCGCGCTATGAGACGTTGCATCTAGGCCTTGATCGACCATCTTGCAACGAATTGGCCAGTCTCGCGATACCAGAGCAACCCGCAAATTGCCGCATCCTCTATCTCGGTCTACCGGGCACAAGTCAAAGCTCTAACCATGGGCTTCACCACCGGCTTCGTACGCGATTCAATTCCTGTTGCCAACTGACGATTGAATACTAACTCCTATGAAAGACCGGCGGTGTCACCCTTACCCTCTCCCTCGCCTACCTTTCAGTTCTCGCCCACCAGCGCACCCGCGAGCAACAAGGTCAGGCCCTCCGATCCCAGGCCCTCGCCATCCAGGGCTTGATCGATCCCTTCCCACCGCTGCCACCCCCTACACGATCCGAAGTCGCCGCCGCCCAGCGGGCCAACGCTGTCGAGGTCGCAAAGGAGCGATGGAACACCGAAGTCATGAACGCCGTGCGGTGGGTGCAGCACACCGACTGGGTTGAGGTGCGCGAGGGTCTCGAGGACACGGCATCACGGCTGTGGAGCCGAACATTTGGCAACCCTTCAGAGGGAGCCGAATCTACTATCAAGCCTATTGTGAAGGAGGAGGCTGCCAAGTTGGGCGAGGCCAGCGGCAAGGTTGCCGCCGCCGCGAAGATTGCCTTCCAAAAGGCAAAGGCTGATGCCAAGGAGTTTGCCCACGCGGCACTGGATCACAGCAAGGACAAGGAGAGTGTGGACATTGCGCAGGAGGACGGCGGTGCGGCGGTGCCGGTGCTATCACCCGTGGAGAGGGCGCTCCAGCAGCGCTTCGTCAAGCCCGAGGCCGAGAAGAAGCAGACAGTGGAGGATGTGCTCAAGGCGAGATACACGCCCATGGACAAGAGGGATAACACGCAGCTGAGGGGGGTGTAAGTGCGTTTGCATGCGTGTGTGTGTGTTGCTGACGAGCTGGTTTGCCTGATGATAAGTGGGCGTGATGCCATGTGGAAAAAAATGTTGCTCGTTGTACATTGCTTGTGTACCACCATTCCCTAGAGTCACCCAAATAGAGATCAAGCTTTCACGGACGTGAAAAGCTTGGTATGAACAACCCAACGAAGCCAGGCGCAGCATCACAAACGTAATGTGATGTGCCCGGGACGCAGCTAATAACGGTCTCTAGTCATTCCCTCACATCATGGGCTATATATCGGGCAGTCTTGTCGTCAGGGAGGCTGATTTGCATCCGCAGCAGACAAATATAGTTTCCGACTCTTCTGAAAGCCCCGAGAAACGCCCGTCCCTTCGACAAGACAACATCATCATGCCCGACAAGATGACCAAGCTCAAGAAGCCGAAAAATACCAAGGAGAGGGAGCCGGACGAGGTCAAGGCAAGAGGTGAGGAGAAGGAGAAGAAGAAGAAGAGACACTCGCAACCGCCGCCCCCATCGGCACCATCGTGGGTCTGGTGGCTGGCAGGAGGTCCCAACCAGAGAAAGAAACGGTCGAGTCATAAGTCGTCTAGCAAGGAGAAGAGCAGCAGCAAGAAGCATTCCACGAAAGAGCGTTCCTCGGATAAGAAGAAGACGACGACTACGACCACGACGAAGAGGAAGAAGCACAGGGAGGAAGAAAGCGAGAGCGAGGACGACAGAGACGAGACGAACAGTGCAGCTGGTGATCTTGGGGTGATCGACGGTGAGAACGATTACAGAATGATGCCGGGTCAAGCTAAACAGAGCAACAAGAACCACGCATGGATTGATTCACGGATTGGTGAGCACCATTCCAGTGTGGGTATCGATCGTGCAAACTTGCCCATGCCGCCCTGGCACCACAGGCCCACAGCGCAGCCTTATGGCGGCATCACCTATACACCTACTAACGAGGAGAGGGATCCTGCAACGAGGGATCAGGGGGTTTGTCCCCAAGAGCCTCGCAGGCAAGATGCCTTCCAACCTCCTCCTGTGCAAAACAATTACAGATCAGTCGGGCCCCAGACCACTAGCCAGACCAGCTCTACCAGTACGGCTCATCAGCAACCTCCTGCTCCACAGAACGACGTTGAATCAACTAGCCAGGAGAACAGCACGGGTGATGTCGACCAAGACCACGGTACCCTGCCCACGATCCAGGAGGAACCCCCCAGGCTCACTAGTCGTCAAAGCAACACCGGACCTGCTGAACAAGAGCAAAGCACTACTACAGCTGCCCGTGATACCACCACTGGCTCGGGTGACGGATGCGGTGTCACGGACAAGGGGGGAGATGAACAAGAGTCGAAGGAGCCAGCTAGTCCACAGGCGGGCGAGAATGAACCCAAGATATCAGATTCTACACACATGATCGCCAAGAAGACAGAGGATTCTCAAGTCAAGGAGCAAGCTATCGAGTCGAAGAAGTCAGTTAGCCCACCGGTCGAGGAGAATAAGCCCAAGATATCAGAGTCTACAGACACGACCGCCAAGGCAGAGGATCTTCAAGCCAAGGAACAAGTTATCGAGTCGAATGACTCACAGGGGGATCAACAAGAGTCACAGGGGACAGATGAATCACGAGTTAATGATAATGAATCAGCAAAGTCAAGTCAATCGTCATCTTGCACCGTAACGTAACCGACCTCCAAGTCATACATCATAGGGCGACATCGCGGTTCTGATTAGTTGGGAGACGTTGCCATCCAGAAGCCCAGTCCAAGGGCATACATGAGAAATGAAGAATTGATCGGGTACTATCACAGTTTGGTGATTTAGCAGCGGGCATCTCTGGAGGGAGTTGTATCCTCTCTTGCGAATCGCCCGATGTAAGTTCGATACTCCAGGGTAAATAATAGATAGCAACCGCTATGAAATGACATTTTTGCATTATGTCGATGCAGGTGCTTGTGAGTATTGTACCCAAGGAAAGTATGTGCTCTCCTATATCATGAAATCAACCCATGGTGTCCACGGTAGTCCTGTGTTCGGGTCGTTTTGAGTTGATCTGCAGGCTGGATGCCTCCTGTAAGTAGCGCAGCATGACCTAAACCAGCAAATCGAGTGCATCACATTTCTTTTAGGTAGGACTGGATATCACCCATAGACCAAAATCAGCAATTCATTAAATAACGCTACTAGCACTGACTATAGACCAACCAATGCTGTGCTTTGAGGTTGCTGATGATGATGCTGTGACTGTGACTCGGGGACTTCTCTACTCTGCACGTCGACCAACGTGGGAGCTGATGCTTGGTTTGAAAGAAAGAATGACGCATAAGATGGTGCTTGGATACTCGACTAAAGTGAATATTGGAAATTCAGACCACGACCGCTTGTCGAGCTTTGCGTATGCATACCTAGGGTCTATGTTATCATCGCCTGTGAATCTTTGTTGAGCTTGCTGAACTGGCCAACACCACCTAGACATCAGCATGACCGAAACAGCAGTATCTTGCTTTTGAGTCATATCTCAAAACCCATACACGTGATATGAATTCAAATTGTTGCTTTGCCATGGGCAGATCCGCCCCATGGCTATTGTGGATGGATGGATGGATGGGTGCCTAATCATCTTATGTGCTCGGCCTCAACACTGCATGAGTGAGACAAGCACTCTTCATCCATCCATCAACATCATGCTCTTTTCAAGCCGCACATCAGGCCTCGAAGCCTTGATAAAAAGACCGCGTCCGACCAAATGGCAAGAGTTCTGGTCCGGTCCGTGCAAGTTTATAGCACGCTACATCTACACACACCGCCGCATCTCCTACGAGACCTTGGCAAACCCGGTGTCGATTGTGTGCATATCAGACACGCACAATGCCCGTTTCGACCTGCCTCCTGGCGATGTGTTGATACATGCTGGCGACCTCACACAGTCGGGCACTCTCAAGGAACTCCAGGAGACCATATCGTGGCTTTCATCTCAACCTCATCCGCACAAGATCATCATTGCAGGAAACCACGACTTATTACTCGATCAAGCTTGCGATCGTTCAGAAAAAGATGCGGAAGAAAGAGCAAAGCTTGACTGGGGGAGCTGCACTTATCTCGAAAACGAGATGATAACCATCACCTTTGCTAACGGCCGGCGGTTGGGGATATATGGGAGCCCTCTATCACCACGCCATGGCAACTGGGCCTTTCAATATCCTCGAGGGCAGGACATTTGGTCAAGTACTGTCCCGCAAAATACTGATATCCTCATCACTCACGGTCCTCCCTTAGGTCATCTTGATCTTATGAGGCTCGGATGCTGTCATCTTTTGCGAGAGCTCTGGCGCGTCCGTCCACTGCTGCATGTGTTTGGGCATGTACATGAAGGGTACGGGCATGAAAGGGTGCAGTTTGATCAGTTACAAGAATCTTACGAGCTGACTGTGTCCGAGGGCGGTGGCATCTTGAACACGTTGGCAGTTATCAAGGAGGGTTTACTGTCACTCTGCAGGGCTGAGAGGGTGGCAAAGTGTCAGCTTGTCAACCCCGCAATGGTTGGAGGGCTTCGAGACGACCAGAGGAGAAAGCCAGTGACGGTTCTGGTGTAGATAGGCAGCCAAGGGCGGCCATGGAATTTCAAATGCCCAACCTGAGTTGTTGGGAAGAAACGATGTCGACTTTGTGCGCAAGCCACATCCTCAAAAGCAAGACATTCTCGACAGCCGAATACGACAAACCCCATGTCTCACATACCCGGTCTGATAGCGGGGAGGAGAGAGTAAAGTAAGCAGCTCCCGGCCGAGGAGATGCGTGCAATGGGATCGTTCGATAAGCAACTGCTCCGTAATAGAGCATCTCCTACTCCTCCGGAAATGCTCGAATCCAACCCGTCCGTGAATGCCGTGCGGTGCCGTGCTCCACACCGTCCGGCAACCGGCAGCGGTCGGGTCGGCAACAAAGGCGAGAGAGGAGCGGGCGAGAGAGGAGGTGACTGGGCGAGCACACGAGCAGACACACCAAGAATTAGAAAGTCTGGGGCCGTGATTGGTCTGCGGAGACGACAGGTTCTGACTCCTGCATGAGGGAAAAAAAGCCTGCACCTTGTAAAGGACGAAAATAAGAGGCACAGCTTATGAAGGGGTTCCCAATATAAAACGTCTCAGTATTTATCTCAACCCCGTCCATATTTTTCATCCCCTGTCTCAAGGGTCTGGCTCGCCTGCTACAATTGCCCAATCTGGCCTGGATGCGCGCCGGTACTCGCCGGTGCAGCGGTTTTCCCAGCGGACTCCTCAGCGGGGACCTTTCAGTGGCAAGCGACAGCGATTGGAGGGCGCCATGGGCGCGGTGGGCGATCTTGGTCTCTGATTGGTTGGACGCCGGACATCCCGAGGTTGACCGATCTTGTGCCGGAAAGGCGTTTCCGCCGCGCCTTCCATGGGAGCGCACATGTGCAAGGAAGGAAGTCGCAGACGGAACCTGAGGAAGGCGAAGGCTTATGGCGACTCTCTTATTGGCAATTGCAAATCAATCCCGATCCTGGGCTGAGTCGCATCCATCCATCCATCCCTCGGAGTTCATTTTTCTTCATCCTCCTCCCTCTTCTTCTCTCACCGTTTTCTTTCCTCCTTTCCTCCCCATTCCCAAACTTCAATTGCGTCTGTGTGTCGTTCTTGCGCTGTTTCATCTCGTTCAAGAGATCCATTCTCCCTCCGCCATTCATCCGGGCGTTTCCGCTATCAGAGGCCCCTCCTCCCGTCAAGGCTGAAAATTGGCCACCTGCCCTGCCCGCATCGTGTCATTGCTGCCGTTCTTCCCCCACGCCGAAGAAAAAAACTGCCTTTTTTCGACGACAACCTTCTTCCTCACTCAACAAACTCTTCAATTGACACCGCCATCATGTCCTTCTCCAGCCTTGTTCAGGACCTGAGCCTCCGCGACACCAATGCCGCTCGCCGCCCTCAGATTCCAGGCCCTCGCTCTTCCGTCTCCACTCTTGACGACCGAGCATCGCACATCTCGCGGGCCATGTCCTACGCCAGCACCGCCGCAACCAGCGTCAGCATTTCGGGCGACATCTCGAGCCAGCTTCATGGCGGATACTTTCACCCTCTGGCCCGCTCCTGGCAGGCAGAGCGTCAGCTCACCAAGGTAAGCGCAATTGGAACCCGAGACAAGACATTCGCAAGGGAGAAGGCCCGCTAACTTGGTGCTTCTAGTCGATGCTCATCTACCCCATCTTTGTCACCGATGGCGAAGGCGACATGATCCTCGTTCCCTCTCTCCCTGGCCAGCACCAGCTTAGCGTCGACAAGTTGGTCCCCTTCCTCGAGCCTCTCGTCCACAAGGGCCTGCGCTCAGTTATGCTCTTTGGTGTCCCCATGCGAAATGGCACCAAGGACGCTCTGGGCACCGCCGCCGATGACCCCGAGGGTCCTGTCATCAAGGCTATCCAGCTTATCCGCCGACGTTTCCCCCAGCTCTTCATCTGCTGCGATGTCTGCCTCTGCGAGTACACTTCCCACGGCCACTGCGGTATCCTGCGCGACGACGGCAGCCTCAACAACCAGCTGTCTGTTGACCGTATCTCGGATGTCGCCATTGCCTACGCCAAGGCCGGAGCTCACTGTGTTGCTCCCTCAGACATGAACGATGGTCGCATTCGCGCCATCAAGCTCAAGCTGATTGAGGAGGGCATTGCTCACAAGACCGTGCTCATGTCGTACTCGGCCAAGTTCTCTGGCTGCTTGTACGGTCCTTTCCGAGACGCTGCTGGATCTGCGCCTTCATTTGGTGACCGCAAGTGCTACCAGCTCCCCCCTGGTGGCCGTGGTCTTGCCCGACGAGCTCTTGTCCGAGACATCAACGAGGGTGCCGACATCATCATGGTGAAGCCTGCAAGCCAGTACCTCGACATTATCAGTGACGCCAAGGAGCTGGGCAAGGATCTCCCCGTGGCCGCCTACCAGGTCAGCGGTGAGTACGCCATGATCCATGCTGGAGCCAAGGCGGGTGTGTTTGACCTCAAGGCCATGGCATTTGAGTCAACGGAGGGTATCCTCCGAGCCGGAGCCACGATTGTGGTCAGCTACTTCACCCCTGACTTCCTTGACTGGCTCGAGAACTAAGCACGACGAACAACATATATACCATGGGCCACGAACTGCAGTGAACTGGTCGTTAAAGGCGTTGAGGGTGTTTTACTGAAAAACTTGGATGATTAAATAAGCCGGGAGCCAAGGATTGATTTACAGCAAGAGATTACGGGTAATGGGGTACGTTATCGCTCTTTTTTATGACCGGCCCTCGTGGAGAGGAGCCTTGTAAAACAAAACAAGTGGTTGAGTTTAGACGGCTACAACAACGCTCAAGCCGATAGAAGGCAAAAGATGAAATGCAAAAGAATTATTCACATTTATGGGAGGCCTCAGGAGAAGTCTCGAATAGCCGCTGCTGTGCGATTGTGCGTGTTGAGTTGGGAGATGCTTGGCCTCTGAAACCGGCAAGGTCGGCGGACCAGATGTTTGAGATATCAGGTTGATGCCAAGGATGTGTTTCAACTGTCGGAGACTTACGCTTCTCGTCGAGGATGCCCGAATGACGCGATGGGGATGTTGATATCTTATCAGTGGTGCCAAGGAGAACCTGGAAGATTGTGACGGGAGTTGGTGACGGGAGTTGGTGAAGCATAATTCAGGTGAATGGCATGATGAAACTTGTCGTGGGATTGGGCGATGTGCACAAACAGGAACGACGGGGGCATGGGATAATGGGCATCGATGATATATAAGGCATGCTCACTCAGCTTGATGACAGAGCCATGAGGGGGTATAAATAGAAGGAAGTCATGAGCCGGCAGAGGACGTGGACAGGGGACGAATGGCTTCAGTTGTGGAGGTGGCTTGTATGTACGCACACCCTGATAGAAGTTCACTGTCAAGACCTGGGATCGATCCATGGGCGATACATGGATCACACAGCACGGTAGTGAAACCCGGGCGACGACACTGTATGAATGCCGTCAAGAAATCTGGGTCTGTCGGCGTCGTCAGCCGCCAGAGTCGTAGAACTTCCCTCCAACCGGAGACTGTATGGCTTGTGGTGTGCCCGCCATGTGGGTAACAGAGCGAGGGGGGAGGGAGACAGCGCGACAGCCGCCGTATCATGGAGGGCAAGGGGAAAAGGCTAAGCTTTTCTGTCTTTGTGCTTGTGCCTCTTTGTGTTGATCGCGTGGTTGGGCTGATGGGTCCTTGGCTGGGGGAACCTCGAGGTGATGCAGTAGCCGCCTATTAAGACTGTAAAAGGTGGGAATGTCTCCATTGATGTTCTTCCTGGCGGGGGGATTCGGCCGTGGAACTGAAGACCAAAAGTAGAAGGCCGTATCCGAAGGGATAATACCCATAAAATTTCAGCTCAGGGCGGTGGAAGTGGTGGAAGTTCTAGATGTCAATATTCATCCCCTGGCAAGGGTCGAACTAGGTATTTATCTGTATTTATGGATTGAGGCTTTTTGGCTGAGCTGAACAATGGACGTTGGGTCTAGCTGAAGGAGTGTGCACATTGTTTTCAGCCTCACCGCGTGTCAACGGCACTCCCGTGGTGGCTTTTCGATAGTGGCTGGGGAAGCATAAACATTTCACAACATTCAACAACACCATGAATTGGACATGACGACGCAAAAAGTGGTAACTTGCATACTCGGACTTGAAAAACTTGGAAGAATGCGCAGATCACACCAAGAGTACGAACAATCCAGATGACGATGGACGTTGGGATCATCAGGGCGGTTACCCGTCTGTGTGTTCTGTGACGAACCAACAACGCAGAGCAGGGATGAGATCTGGGTATGTACCAGATGAAGCGCGGGTATCCAGCGCCTGTTTCTGAGAACCAAATTCATGGCATGATCGCTGTTCTTTGGTCGGCCTTCTATACAGTATAGGGAAAAAAAAAAGGGGACCTGGACTTCCCTGTACGCGCGTTCCTTCTGGGTCCAAGGTTGGAAAAAGAATGGAACCCCTTGTTGGAAATAACTGGGGGTGGTGTGGGAGGATATCATGGATCAAAACAAAGAGATTCATGGGTGAGTTTTTTTGGTGGAGAAGAAGACGTCAGTGCAAGACAAGAGGGCGGGAGAAGCGGCATATGACGAATAATGAATATCTTGGATCGAGTTTTAAGAGATACTCGACTGAAGCCATCGTCTGGTTATCCAATGCAAACAACTGATACTGAAACTTTGCAAGTCTATGCCAGATGAAACTCCATGTAACTCTCTCTAAAAACCCCCCTGGTCAATGGTCAGAACCGAATCAGGGACGCCCACCCCCGAAAAAGTCTATTGCCCAGGATGCAGGCCTTGGCGTTCTTGGCCAATGCTTGTCTTTGCCGCCCGCCGTCCTTGACCTTTTCTGTACACACGGCCCGGGTTCCTGGGAACTACAACCACGCATAATATCAAGCCGCCTTTGATTCTGTTACAGGTACCATAACTTGAAGCAGTTTCTATTTTATGAAACAATCATGATCGGTTATCGGCATCTCAATGTCCTCAGCTGTATGACCTACTTCGTGTATGCGACGCAAACTTGAAAAAAGTTGGGTTTGATGCCCACTGAGCTGCTGAAGATCGCCATCAGTCCCGCGACCGTCGCCGCAGACCGCAATCCATCCCCTGGCTAGCCCCGTCCGATGGGACGCCGCTAGACCAGCGACAACATCCAAGGCGTGGTGGTGGGTGGATTCGTGGTGGGTATTATCCCCCTGTGGTGGTGGTGGGGAGAGACGGCACATCGAGTTGAACCACGGCGTGTAAGAGGAGAGACACAGAGAGAAACAAGAGATCCAATCGAGACGTCTCGAGTGGGAAAATAGCATGTCACTTTCCTGTTGTTGAGGCGGCGGGCGTGAACTGAGAGCCAGCCATTTTTGATTCATGACCTGGCGGCCACCTGCATGGCACCGGCACTGTGATGTACTGTATATTCATCACTCGATTCATGCAGGCACCTCCTCCTTGTTCATTGTGCTCTCTTTTCTACTGTCTCTCTTCTTTTTCAGCATAATCGATACATACAATACACTTTTAGGGCTGTGCTCCCCGCCTTGAAATACATCAAAAAGCCCAGCAGAGGTTCCCTGGTGGTCATCTCTTGGCATCTCTCCTCCTCCTTCTCTCTCTCACATCACGACTTCTTTTTTTTTCTCGATGGTGGTTCAAATTGTCATATCTTTTGATATAATTTGAGCCCCAGTCATTCGTTTTTGAACCGGAATCCATATGATCTCATAAGATATCGGTTGTCCTAGTTATAGAAGCGTGACGATCCCCAACCTCTCCTTCCTCCTTTCGTTTTCCTTGTTTGGTTCCTTCCTTCTTTCCCTCGTTCAGCATTTTTGCTCAGATATTTGATTGTCTCCTTCCCTCTTTCATTGGAGACCTCTTCTCCTTCCATCTCATATCCTCTCGGCCGACTCTGCTGGAACAATGAACGGCCACTCTCCTGCACATTACCGGTCACCCTCGGAGGAAGAGAAGATGGGCTTGCTTGACGACAGATCCATCTCTGATGTCGATAGCGACAACGGACGGAATGACCTAGAACACAGATTCCTCCTCTCAAAGTGGGCCGGTCCCATCCTCGCTCCTGTCGACTACCTCCGATCAACACCTTGGAGGGTCTTCCTCGTCCGTCTCGCCTGGTTCTTCGTCCCAAGCTTCCTCCAGGGCCGCCATGCTCGTGAGCAGATCCGACCCGCCAAGCTCGCCCCTACGGCATATCTCGATGGCATGCGAGGCGTTGCTGCCCTTGTCGTCTTGTTCTGCCACTTCTTCTACCAAGCCTTTGTCATTGCCAAGGGCTGGGGCTGCAACGACTCTCACTACAACATCCTCAAACTTCCTATCCTACGATTGTGGTTTCAAGGGCCACCCGCCGTCTGTCTTTTCTTTGTCATCTCGGGCTACGCCCTCTCCTATCGACCCCTGAAGCTCATCCGGAGCCGAAGCAGCCAGGACTTTTCCACTGCTATGAGCTCTCTGGTGTTTCGACGAGGCATCCGTCTCTATCTACCCACCGCAATCTCTACTTTGATGATCGTTGCTCTCATCCGTTCAGGAGCGTACGAGGGAACTCGGGCATTTGCTCTGGATCGCACTTACATGAGAAACGTCATCGAGCCTCACCCCACCAGGCTCAAGACAAACTATGCTCAATTGGCAGATTGGGCAAAGGACATGTTTAAATTCGTCCATGTCTTTGGCTGGAAGACTCATGGTGGAAGCACCAGTAAGTACTTTTGATACCCTCGATATTCTTCAATGAAGCTGACCCTTTCCAGACTATGACCAACACCTTTGGACAATTCCCGTCGAATTCCGTTGCTCCCTGTATCTATTCCTCACCCTCCTAGGCACTGCACGACTTCGAACCCAGTATCGACTCCTCACCGTTGGTGGTGTCATGCTCTTCACCTACCGAAATTCTCAATGGGAGTTTCTAATGTTCCTTTGCGGCATGGTCCTTGCCGAGATGGATCATATTAGAGGTGCCCACGTCTCGGCCCCCGCCCTCCCCATTGAGGAAAAGACTCAACCCCCTCGCCGCCGAACACTCCAAGGCATCTTCTGGGCTCTCCTTAGCATCATGGGCCTTTACTTCATGAGCCAACCTGACCAGGGAGGCGATACCACTCCAGGATGGGTCTACCTCACGTCGTTGATTCCTAAGTGGTGGACGGCCGAGAAGTATCGATACTGGCAGTGTACGGGCGCTGTCATATTCGTACTTTCTGTGAGCCGCTCGGCTAACTGGCAGCGGGTTTTCAACTCGGCTTTTGTCCAATACCTGGGCAAGATCTCGTATGCCCTTTATCTCATGCATGGACCTGCCATCCATGCTGTCGGATATCGCTTTGAGATGTGGGCCTATAGCTTGACTGGCATTGAGGGCAACTGGTTCACAGCTGGCTTCGTCCTCAGCTCCCTCTTTGTCATCCCAACCGTTTTCTGGTGGGCCGACATCTTCTGGCGAGCGGTTGACATTCCCACGGTCAAGTTTGCCAAGTGGTGGGAGAGCAAGCTTATTGTCAAGGCCGAGTAGGGACGGCCAACTTAAAGTACACTGGTTATGACATGTGGTTTTTGGCGTTTAGCGGTAAACAGGTTGCGACATGCACAGAGGATGGGCTCCAGGATGCGAGACCCAGCAAACGGCGTTCTAGGTGGATGAATTCATCATGTTGCGGGATAGAGGACAGGAAAGTCCTCGGACTTTGTCCCGGCGTAGCCTCTCGGCTCCATTTCCTTAGTCTTGGTCGCGAGGGCGACTACACTAGATAGCGACAACGTGGAAACATTGTCAGAGATTGAGGGCAAATCTTGTGTGTATGTCGGGGCAGTCAAGGAGAGCTCAGTTCAAGAGTGTTAAAAATCAATGGAAATAGATTGAAACAAGATGTCGTATTTTTGATCTCCAATGATCTAGCCTTTATACGTATTCAAATATCCTAAACTCCAAGTTTTTCTGAATGATGTCTTCCTAACATGTTATTCCCCAGTTCAACTTGTTATTCCGAGCTGGGGCGCTTGTAGACTCTCTTGCCTGCCACCCACGTCTCTCTCACCTTGAGAGTTCGCAAATCTTCAACATCCACCTCTTCAATAGGATGACCCAGAACAACCCAGTCGGCCAAGGCCCCCTCTCGAATGACACCAGCACGGCCGTCAAGGAAGGCCCCATAAGCAGGGGCGCCGGAGAAACCCCATAGAGCCTGATCCAGACTCAGAGCTTCTTCTGTATGCCAGCCATCAGGACTATCATCAGTGCCATGGCCTGTGTGCGGATTTCGGCGGGCCACAGCAGCATAGATGCCCTGGAAGGGGTTCGGTGGCTCAACGGGAAAGTCACTACCCAGGATGGGCTGGGCAGGGAGGAGTGAGCGCATGCGGTAGGCGGAGGAGGAGAGACGGTCTGAGCCGAGGCGAGAGAGGGCGTATTTCATGTCTGATGTAGCATGAGTGGGTTGGATTGAGGGGATGATTCCGATGGAGTGAATGCGACGTTGATCGTCAGGATGAATGATTTGGGCGTGTTCGATGCGGAAGCGGTGGCGGGATTGACAAGTGGCGAGGGCCTTGGCTTGATCTTGAGCGATAACATCATCTGACGCTGAAGGGGAGGCATCTTGTGCAGTGGCCTCGTTGAGACATTGCTGAACGAGTGCGGCCTCAAGAGCGTCAATGGCATTACGGTTGGCCAGATCGCCTATAGCGTGGATATTAACCTGATATCCATCAGCAGCCCAACGCTTTGTCACGTCTGTGAGAGCCGAGGCGTTGATGAGGAGTGTGCCTGATGTCCAGGGGTGATCCGCGTAGGGCTCAAGCATGGCACTTCCCCAACTACCGAGGGCACCATCTTTAAAAGTCAGTATTTAGGGATTGATGGGACTTGGGGTTAGACTTACCAGCAAAGAGCTTGACGCTCTGGACTGCGAAGCGGTCGTCGTCGCGGGCAAACTTGACGGCCTCGTCGGGACAGTACGAGTTGCGCTGGGGACACTCGAGCATGGCGTAGACACGAACAGACCAGTCATCATCAGAGGAGAGCTCGTTGTAGAGTGTCAGAGTTTCTGGAGTAGCACCGGCATCGTGCATGCCCACGAGACCGACTTCATTGAGACGCTTCATGGCGGTCTTGACGGCGAGGGTCTTGAATTCGGTTCCGGGCTTTGGCCAGATGGAAAGAACTAGGTCCATGGCATTGTCACAGAAGACGCCTAGACCTGGTTCACGGACAATCTCGCCGCCGGGGACTGTCTCGGGGAGGTCTGAAGGAAGAAGGTCGAGGACGGGCTGGGATACCCAGGTGCAGTGAACATCGATGCGGTCGAGCATGAGATAGATATCTTTGAGTTCTGGGTCCTCTGCAATATCGGCCTGTATGATGTTTGTAAGGTTGTCCTAATACATGAGATGATGTATAGTTGACTTACAGCTGTTGGCATACGTCCATAGAATGTCTGATCCCAACCAACACCACGAACCCAGTTATCCTTGGATCCAGCCCCAGGGTTCTCAAAAAGATGCTTTTTAATCCTAGACCTTACCTCCTCCAAAGTCTGAGCACCAAACAAGTCAACAGAGTGAAGAAACTCTCCATACTGAAGCAAGTGCCCGTGTCCATCCCAAAGACCCGGAATCACATAGCCATCAGTCTGGTTATGCAACTGGTCATCTACCTCCTTGTTCCAGACAGCTGTAAAGACGCCGTCGAAGACAGAGAAGCATTGAGCGGTGGGAAGCTCTGAATCATGTGTACGCACGCCTGTGTAGCAGTACGTGGCTGAATTGGCCTTGTTGAGAGGCTGCTGGAGGCGGTATGCGACTGCGAGGGCGACGACAATGATGGGGAGGCCCCATCTGAGGAAGGGGACAGCCATTGTATGTCTCCCGGTTTGACAATGGGTGTTGATAGCCTTGCTGGATATAAATTAAAGTAGTGGTGACGAAGTAGAGAAGATCATTGACTGGCGGTGATGGTCATTGCAGCGAGGTCGGAGATGTTATCGATAAGGGATGTTTTTGGTTTATCGTTTTTGGTGGGGGAACGCCATTTCAACAAAGTCTGGGGAAGGAAGTATTGATTTGATCAATTGGATCAGTCTACCGATGTCGGTCTTCTTTACATAGGTACCTATCTACCTACAGTTCACATATCCTCGTAAGGGGCCTAGATGTCTCTAAAGCATCAGTTACAAGTTGAATGGAACAGTCTCAAGTTAATGTCCATTAACCTATACCAACCCCACGATCCATCAAGCTTTGTTCCTGGAATGACGGGGCAACTCTGCCATGTGGCCGCCCATCCCGTCCTTGCCGAAAACTCAACCCCAGACTAGCTCTAGATCTATTTTCAACCCCCTGGCTAATATCACGAGCTGAAGCTGAAGCTGTTCCTTTGATGCCTAGAGCTCTAGCGGGGATGCGGGGCAATTAAACACTCCGTCCCTGACCAGGAGCGAGATACGATGAGCTTGGGGACTAATTCAATGACGCTGTTGTACAAACGGATCTGTGATGAGGGATGCGTATCCGACGGCGTTTCGAATATCGGCCGCCTATGCGACTATAAAACCGTCAGCACCAGTTTGTATACCTCATCTCTCCTCAGCCCACATCCAAACGTCACCATTCTTCCACAATAACCCTTTTCAACACCAACCAAAAAAACATCATGGCCCTCTCGCGCGCAGACCTCGAAGCCCTCGCGGCAACCCACGTCCGCGACGCCATCCCCTCGGAACCTCTCGCGGCCGCGCTATCATCCCCGCCCTTCATCCCGACCCGCTCCCTCGTCAACGTCCGCGACCTCGGCGCCGTGCCCGGTAGCGCCATCCGTCCGGGCCGTATCTTTCGCTCGGGGATGCTCGACGCAGCCGCCGCCGACCCGGAGGCACTCGCCTGGCTGGCCGCCAACGTCGGTACCGTCTTTGACCTGCGCAGTGAGCGCGAACGCGCTGGGTATCCAAGTCCTGAAGTTCCCGGCGTGAAATTCATCTTTTATGAACGTGATGGTTCATATCCTGGATCGCCTGATCCTGCTGATTTCGCTGTTGATGATGGAAGCACTGCTTGGAGGGAGCAATTGCTGGCTGTTGCGAGGGCGTACAAACCCACCATTCGCGCTGTCTTAGAGCACGTGAGAGATAAGCCCCAAGAGCCTTTTCTCTTCCACTGCACAGGTAATTACACCTCTTATTTAAAATACAAGAAAACAGGCACTCATGTATCACAGCTGGTCGAGATCGCACAGGCGTGGTCGCCGGTCTCCTCCAAACCCTCGCCGGCACGGAGCAAACCGACGTGGTATTTGACTACATGCTCTCCCGTATCGGCACAGAACAAGCTCGCGACCGTCTCGTAGTCTTTATCAAGACAGCCCTCGGTGTAGATGACCCCGAGACGCCTGGGTTCTGGAACATGGCGAGCCTACGACCGACCTTCTGGAAAGCCTTTGTCGAGGGTGTTGATGCTGAGTTTGGTGGGTGGGATGGCTACGTCACCAAGGGTTTGGGGTTCTCGGTTGATGACTTGGAGACGATCAAGAAGAATCTGAGGGCGTGATGGAAGATGCTACAGAGTGGTTATTTTTGGATCGTTGTGGTTGATGCCATCAGCCAAGGCTCTCTCAGTTGGGTTATCTCGCAAACTCAAGTGATACCAAGCATAGCAATACAAGCCCATGCATTGCCGTGAAACATCTTTTCTTGCTTCCAACACTTACGCAATATCATTGAACCTTTGAATTCAACAATGTCAGTTTAATCTTGTATAGTGACGTTTCACCATCTCGATGCAGTTAATCCTCCTGTTCCTCCAACCTGCAATACCCCCTCCATCATCATCCCCAGCCCTATGACATCACTCCCAATTTGGACCCTGCATCTCAATCCCCACTAAACCTCCCACCAATGAAACCACAATCCCCTCCTCCAAAACGTCAAACCCGCCACCCTCAACTCCGTCACGTTTTCAACTTCCAAGTTTCTTCTGTGCAACAAGTTCAAGCAGGGTCCCTTTTCTCATAACGCAGATCTTTCACAAACCAGGGTCTTGGTATGGCATCAGAGGGGCGTAATATGTGATGCAATATTCTCAAAAACTTGCTGGTCTATAGCTGTTAATCGTGTATATAACATGCGTCTCAACTCCTCCCATAACAACTACTCTTAAGACAACCAAGATCAATATCACAAGCCACACAAAGCACAAGCACAAGCACAAGCACAATCAAACTATACCGTATTTCTACTTCCAACAAAAGACAGCCCAATATGCCTCTCACAAGAACTCACCGCCAGACCACCCCCCGCCGCTCCATCTTTAGCACCCGCCGTCGTGCTCCGGCTCGCTCCCACCACACTGTTACAACCACTACAACCACCACCAGAAAGCCTCGTCGCGGCTTCCTGGGCGGTGGTCGCCGTACCCATGCTGCCCCCGTTCATCATCAGCAGCGCAGACCTTCCATGAAGGACAAGGTCAGCGGAGCCCTTCTCAGGCTCAAGGGTAGCCTCACTCGCCGACCTGGTGTCAAGGTATGTCTCCTCTGCAGTAACTATCCTCCCAATAGCAGCCATCTAACTGGTTATCAATAGGCCGCTGGAACTCGACGCATGCATGGCACCGATGGCCGTGGCTCTCATCGCCGTGCCCGTCACTTCTAAACCCCCAAGAACGAGAATCAGTAGATGCTGGGCATCTCAAGAGCAGGACGTGTCCATGACACGCATGTACCATTATGATAAACGATACCCTCAGTCATGTTGAGAGAAGAACTGTATTATTATGCCGCATATCAAGCAGCCTAAATCTTTTGAACTTTCAGTCGCCAGCGACTTATCTGTTACAACTTGCAGTCAATCGAGACTACCATACCATAATTCCTAGCACTCGTGTCTTTCCCATCAAAATTCGTACAAATCACTCGTGTTCCTGGGTGACCAAGCCGCCCAGTCTGTGCAACAAATCCCCTCATCCTTGACCATTCTTTGACTCCGACCCCCTGGTCTTCCTAGTCGCGCTCACTGCAACTCGTCCACGTCATGAGGGGAAAAGCCTCCTGGTGGGCGATAAGGCGGTGCCAATCGAATATCTCGGTGCAACTTGAGTGGATTCTCCGATGCCAATTGAGCTCGTGTCAGCGGCATCATCGACGGCGAAGACCCTCTACGGCGATGTGTCTTCCCAAGTGGTAGCCCTGCCACATCGTCGATGTTGGAGATCGACAGACGGCGCCAACTTCGTCTCTTCTTTTCGTAGGGCTTCAGAGAAGGACTCGTAGACATGAAACTAGTGGCAAGTTCGTCCAGGTCATCGATACTGGCTCCAGAAACCTTTAGGTCCGTATACTTTCGGAATGCCATCTCCAAACTTTCCAATGCTTCTTTGCTGGGAGATGGATGTTTCTTCACCCTCTTAGACCCGAAAGCATCCGTTCCCATCGCCTTCTCCCAGCCCTTTCGAGCCTCATTCACCGATTCAACCAGTGTTCTCTTTCCAGAGTCAGGTCGAGCGAGCTTCGTGTGGTGCGTTCCTACAAGCTCCCTTTGTCCATGGCTCGATGACGTGCCAGCCGGTCGCAAACTGGTCTGCTTTTGTATGAGCTTGGGAGCTTGCAACGCGGGACTTTGGTCGGAGCTTGATGCCGAGATTCGCTCGACTCGAATTCGAGGCGTCGACGATCCAACCGGTGTACTTTTCAAGATTCTATCCTTAATGTTGTCGTCGAATTCCTTCTCGGACTCAAAGGGATTACGTGGCAGAGGAGGGATGGCACTCTGGTCGTTGTCCGCACCCTTCTTCAGCCGACTTTCAAAGCTTGTCGGAGTCCGCCATCCACCACCCTCAGAAAATGGATCGTCCAAGGACTTTCCGCTCCTTAGTGATTTGCCGTCATCTGCAACAGGCTTTCGAGAGACCTGGCCACCGACAATCCGCTGGACCTTTCTCTTGTTGAGATTGTCCCCTTCATTCAAGCGGATCTCAATCGTACTAATTGGAGACATGTTGCTGGGCGATGATATAAGTCCACTCTCCAGCCTGTCCGACTTGTCGTTGTCTTGTCCGCTATGTGACACTTTCCCCGGGGTCCCTGTTTCTTGGGGTGACGATTTCGCATGAAGGCGATCCCATGCATTCGAAACCTTGGCAAAGACCTTTGCTGGGACCATTCGAGTGAGCTTGGAGGCTGAACTATTAGTCCGCCGGGGGGGTGAGGGCTTCAAGGCATTAGTGGCGGCTAGCATAGCGTGGAGTTTCTGGTTGATATCCTCAGGGCTGTTAGGCTCCGCAAACCCCTCAGGAACGACTTCGTTTTTCTGATCTTTCGTCAAACGACGTCGGACATTACCGTCAACAGTAGACAGCGGTGTAGATGCTGGGGCCTTCAGGTTGTCTGTTGGATGGAACTTGAAGGGGTCAAGGGATAGCGTCCTGGTAGGGCCGAGAGATCTCTGCAAGCTCCTTTCCTTTCGCTTCTGGAGTGCATCTCTGGGAGTTCGAGCAGTGGCAGCCCGTCTTGGAGTGTCTCTGAGTCTCTTTGGCGAATTTTTGCCAACCCGCAACTGTCTGGTATGCGACTCGGCAGGGGGTGGTGGCTGCTCAAGCGGGGATGGTAGTTCAAGTGGCGATATAGCAGGTTCGCTTCCAACGGGGAATGAGACGCTTGGGGTAGTAGCCCGACGTTTGTTTGGGGATGAATCTTCGCCGCGGGCTTGTAGGGGCAGGGTCGAATCATCCAGCAGTCGACTTGCCATCTCTTCAATACTTTGTGGTTCTCCGATGGTTCTCTTCCGTGATGTTCGTCGAGGTGTGTTGCTAGCCGTAGCAGCTGAAGATAGAGGAGAGTCTTTATGAGTCAGTTTCTGTTCCGCCAGGCAGATTGCGAGGTCTTTACTTGATTTTCTTCGTGACACCGGCTCCGCCAGGTACCTTTGGCGGCGACGTGACCCCAGAGACCTTAACAGGCCCTTCTTCCCGTAGGTGACAGTGGTCGGTGGCATATTGGGCGTTGCGTTGTAGGTGACTAACAAACAAAAAAATATAAAGGAGTGAATATGTGTTGGATCGACAGTTGTTCACAGAGTAGATCAACTGCGGTTGATCAGCGAGCTGTGCCAAAACGAATCAAAAGCAGGAGATGTCGCCCCGAAGAGGGATAACCACGAAAGGTGCCGATGACTGGGGAAATGGAATCTTCGCTGATGTTCACCAAGTGAACTCCATATCCCAGTTGAGAGCAGACTCGCAAAGGACCGAGGCTCAGGTCAAGGCGAGGAGTGATGTGAGGAGGGCAGAGTTAGTGATGACAGATGAGGGGGTGAAGAGAAGGAAGGAACTCACACGTGCCGTTGCTCTTATCATTCGTGGAAGGTTACAAGCTCACCTAACAACTTTTTTTAACTATCAAGGGAAAAATGGAAGGTACGCACGCTGTAATCTTCAGGCGGCCGGTGCGATATCGGCTGGTATTTTCTACAGAGGCCTGCCAGTGCCAGGAAAGAGCGCTGGTGTCACTGGGCCAATACAAAATGCAACTGCAGGGTAAAGAAAGAATCTCCCAGTGCCCTTTGATTTCCATGCCAGTGTCTGTATCTCCCTTGCAAGGGTCAAGTTGAATGCCCGTCTCAACAACACCTCTGCAGCACAAACACACAATTCTGCTGTCATACCTCAGATCTCCTCTTCCCTCCACCGGAAGAGCAACGCCTCCTCGCTCTGTTCCGTCGCCATACCGAACTCAGCATCACATTGATCGTTGCACCGCAGTTCATGTTCCAGGCCGACTTTTCCCTTGTCGTCTCTCCCCCTGTGGCCCTGTCTCCTCTGGTATACGCCGGGTGAGGTATTAACGTTGCAAATTGCGATCAAGTTCTAGTCATTGACTCAAACAGGGAACGATATTGTTTTGATAGGCCTCCGACATGACGACTTGGGAGCTGAGAGCTTGGCGTGTTTCCGCAACCTGGACGAGCGAGCAAACTTGCGCATATCATTTGAGCATCTGCACATACGCATGTACTAAAATGATGGTCGTTTCGCACTTGCGGCCCATAGCAGTCCTACCCAATTGCTGCAGCATAGGGACGTATCGAACTCGTAGAGGGGTTCAGGTTCCCAACAAACGAATCACCCCTGCTCCCCATGAACGTCACCTGCATGCATTGACTGCAGCGAGCAGCAACCTTGCAAATGCAGATCTGAATGGACTGTTACACGAACAGCGCAATTGGAGAGTTCCAGCTTGAGACAAGACACCTCTTGGTTCGGTGTGACCTGGTGCCTATCTACATGTTGGTAAAGGGACGCGACCCGAGACTTTAATCAGCCTCGAGCGCCATCGCCGTCGCATCTCAAACAATAACGCAAGTCGAGAGAATCTGAGACAATGTCTTGAAGACGTGGCACAGCAGGTATCACTTGCTGCGAACTTGTGCTTGGTGACCTTGGCATCCATCCGGGCCAACTGTAGTTGATGAGAACTGCACGTGATGAACAGCGCCACAGGGTGATGTGGCTCAGCATCGGCTCGTAGCGGAACATCGGTCGGAGATGCAGAAGCCAGTGTGGCGCGATTTTACATCATGGTGAACATTCGCCGCTCGACGGTTGCCCAAAAATTTCCCTTCCGAACGAGAACGAGCCTACGAACGACAGGGGAACGAATTGCCCTTCACGACTACGATTTCAAGGGTCACGATGCTATAGTAATGACATTGGCTGCCCTTCTGCCTCTCCACGACTCCCAGAAAGCGACACTTAAGATCCGAAAGTCCCGGCAACTTTGACTTATTCGCCCCTCTCGTCCGTCCGGTCTCCGAGGTCGCATCACGAACTTCTCGAAAACGCCCACTTCGACAGGAACGGCTGAGAAGGATATCGGTCTGTGCCTTTAGCGGGACTGCAGCGAAAAGCAAGTCTCTTTTAGAATCATGTTGCGACAACCTCTCCGCGGCGTGCGCGCGCCGCTTCGAACCTTTGACCAGGCAGCCTGGAAGGGCGCTTGGAGGAGGTTCTTCACCTCGCAGACGGGAGACAAGGCCTCCCGTCAGCTCTGGCGGTTAAAGACGGCTTCGTGGGAGAGCATGCTGGCGCGGCTGCGAAGCACCCGGTTCGGAACTGGCTCAACGACAACGCCAGGCATGATGCAGGGCCTTCTGAGGCGCGGGTTCCGGTTCACGGCACGCCGCAAGGGAGCCAAGGGCCCGGTAGCCAGCGACGCCGAGAAGCCTATGACGCTGACCGCCCGGCTCAAGAAGCTCACCAAGGACTACGGCTGGGCAACGGTTGGCGTCTACCTGGGGCTGAGCGTTTTGGATTTCCCCTTCTGCTTCCTCTTCGTTAGGATCGTGGGGGCAGAGACGATCGGTGAGAGAAAACTTGCCGCCGCAGACTCACGCTTTACCCGCCGAGGCGTGCGTGGGCGTGGACGCTGTGTTGTTGAACCAGATGGCTAACGTGCGCCGACTGATTTAGGCAAGGTCGAGCATTACGTCGTGTCGTCGGTCAAGGCCATGATTCCCGACTCAGTCCGGGAGACATGGCACGAGTACTGGCAGTCGTTCAAGAAGGCCGAGGTGCAGGCGCTTGGCGATGACGATATAAGCGACAAGATGGAGATGGCTACCTGGAGCGTCGAGAAGGCCCAGGAGCGGAATCGCGCCGCCGATGCTAGTGAGTATTTCCCCATCCGTTCTTGTTCTTGTTCCTGGGCGCTTGGGGGAGTGAAGGTTACGGCTCTTTGTTGAGTGGAGATGAAGAGCGCTTGGAAGGAGACTTGGTTCCAAAGGCTAACGACTCGATTTCTTCCGGCAGGTCTAGCGACTCAGCTGGCGCTGGCCTACGCCATCCACAAGAGTTTCATCGTCTTCCGGGTGCCGCTGACGGCAGCCGTCACGCCCAAGGTCGTCAAAGTGCTTCGGTCATGGGGCTGGAAGATTGGAAAGAAGAGCGGTTAGACTAAGAAAAGGTTGGAAGTCATGAGGATTTGGAAGCCTGAAACTAGAAGCCGACCAAGCTTGCCCAGAGCAGCCGAGTACTTGGTTGAAACACCCCACACATTACCACCATTTCCTAACTACCCTATGGCTCTTTTACGAGTCTTGTATCTCTAGCCGTTACCTTAGTTTAGATTTCCAGAGTGTTGACTACTGTGGTAGACTCGTTGTAATATATTAAATGATGCCACAGTTGCTTAAGCCACTCGGCTCAGTCTCCCGAGAGTGAAAATGTGACTTGCAGTAAGGGGCCTGTAAAACAGACCGCCTCGTCTATTTTGAGCAGGTCTCGGATCATCAGACCACCAGTATCGTGAGGCTTTTACTCTCTCAGCTTGGCTGCATTCGCGAGGTCGGCGGCAACCGAAGCGACGAGGCGACCTAGCAACCCAGTAATCATGGATGAATGGATCCTTCGGCTGGAATGGGACGGACGAAGCAATTCACTTCACATGCGAGGAACCCCCGATCCAGCGGCTAACTGAGCAATAGCGCAGATCAGTCCCCCTGAGCAGAATGCACCCAAAGGAGCCAAAGGGAGCTCACCGATTGATTGAGGCCAGCCACTGTTTAATCTGCAACGTTTGGATGGATGGAATGTCCCCGACCAACCCCTGCTTCTCACCACGGTCTCAGTTGGCCGCTGAAACCATCAACTCAGCCTCGAAAAGCCAAGACCTTCACCGACAGGGGTAGGATACAACGTCGGGAGTAGAAGGTGTGTGTAAAAGCCGTTTTGGAAAAAGTTAGGACGCGACGTGACTCCATAGAAGCTCCGGGAGAAGGGGATTACCTTTGACCTTAAGCGGACGGACGACTCATGTTTGCGCTTCGGGCTGGAGACCGAGATGGAACTTTACGGTCCCCGTCCGTCCCTGTCCTGTTCGGTCGGGGCTCTGGAAAGGACTGGAAGGAAGCCCGTCCGTCGAAGGAAGTGGAGACGGGACAGGATTGGTTCGAGATCATCCAGCCTAGGCATTTTACTTGGCCCCGGCCCCGGACGTTCTGGCTTCCGTCACTGCCTGCGCTGTCCACTCAAGAACTGAGGGTTCTGTCCCGTCCTGGCATCGGGCTTATCAGTCGGGAATAACGGCCCAAGTTTTGGATCCTTGGATCCCTGGATCCCTGGATCCATGTTTCGAAGGGGGTGCCTGGCGAGGTGGATACTTGGAAGGAAGGGAAAGGGTGTCATCCATCCCATCCATCCATGCCATGCGCTGCTCGCCGCTCTGACCCATCGAGGCGAAGCATCCATGCAAAGCATTGGCCAGATTGGAAATACGGATACAGATTCACAAACCTGATCATGACCACGAGGGAAATCGACGCCAAAAGGCGGCTCCGCGAGTCCACAAGGGGTTGTGTGGGCTCCGCTCCATTGCAAGAGGGGCCAAACGCGCACGCGAGTCACCGTGTTGTTCATCATGACTTTTTTTTTCGTCAGTCTTCTTTTTTTTGCTTCTCAGGCCCGTCGTGCCGTTTAAACTTCCAAGGATCGCACGAGGTCCCCGAAGGCTGAGACGTTGAAAGCGTGCTAGGTTACTGTACGTGGTAACGAACGACAAGGGCGTCGGCCGACCCTAACTCTGCGGTCGGCTTTAACAAGCGAGTAGAAGTTTCGATGGGCTTGACCGGTTCAACGGCACAAGAAAAAAGGTTGAGGCGACAATAGGACGACAGGCTTGGCAACGTGCTGACAAAAAGCATAACTGATTTTTTTTCTTCTTTTTTACTTTCTTCTTATTTTGGCTTCTTTTGTTTGCTCTAGTTTTGGACTCTCGATGACGAGTTAGCCCCAGAGCAACATTCGCTGGCGCGTGGGAATAGAGTTTCGAGATGAAGCGGCGGCGGACAGGCCTGGGCATTGGCGGACGGTTCGTGGAAATTGCGACTAGACGTCAGGAACTAAAAGGAGCGTCAGACTCAAGGATCAGGCCAAGAGACCATGTGGGAAGAGGGAGCCTACCTAGTCAGGTCAGCATCCCATCCGGACTCACCTAGCTAGGTAGAGGTAGTCAGCCAGCCAGCTGTAACATCATCATGGCCAGGCGGACGAGATGAGCCGGCCGTGGTCAAAGAGTCTGGGTTGCTCTCGGTTCGGCCAGCAACAGCACAGCAAGCATGGGCATAAATGACACCGCCATGTAATCAATTCTGCCTCAATCAGCATGAGGTGTCACTTGTCAAGTCTCCCGTCCGTCGCCTCAGCCGCAGAGCGACCCGACCGGTGAGTCGGCTTGCGACGTTGGCGGTTTTTTTTTATTTTTAGCCATGGCCTATGTGCTGTGCTGTGCTGTGATGTGTTGTGCTGTGCGTGCAATAGGACCTCAACTAAGCTACGCGGCATGTCGTTTGCTCTTGATGGATGCCCACCGTCCCGGGCTTCCAGGTTGGCATTGACTGTTTCGTGACTTTGACACCTTGACACCTTGACAATCATCAGCATGGATTATCATCGACTGCAGCAGCCGCTGCATGAGCGCACCGGCCAGCCGACAAGCATCCCCACACGCAATTCGCAGGAACTCGACTGTTTGTCCAATCGGGTTAAAGACTGGATTCGAGGGCGGAATGGGTCACCGCGGAGCGGCCAAGCAGCAAGCAAGGAAGCAAGCAAGCGATGAATACATTACATGTGCATATGTAGGCGTATATGTATGTGTCCATCCGCATCGGCCGGCTACAAACGATCAACACATGCCGATCTGCAGTCATTTCCCTGGCGTGATACTAATCATTATGCACACGTAGCTGTTGGTCGCCTCGCGGGTTAGCAACGGAGGGTCGCGTGTGATATGGGATGGGATACCTAGCCAGGCATGGAGATGGAAATGGAAATAGTGCCAGATGGTGACGGTCGGTGGCCCAAGGCCTTGGCGCTGAGGCACGAGTGGGTGCTCTCCTGCAAGTCACCATCACAGGCACACACTCCCGGCTTCACGGAGTCTGGAGATGTCCCCACGTGCAAAGTGCACGACAAGGTTGATAGTGTGATTGCCATGATTGAACCCTGGGCGGCAACAATACCAAGCGAGGTGGGCCAGCGCAGCAGCAACGGGATAGGACCGGATACGACCAGCCCGCAACTGTGCCTCAACTGTTCCCAAAAAGCTGGGAATTCTGCCCGGGGGAGATGGGTCCCAGTATCATGGTGTTGACGATGGGTACCAAGCGAGCTCAAGATTCAGACCCGAAACAGGCACAGGCTAGGTTCGCTCGCGGCAAACAAGCGGTAAGTGATGCCGTCCGTGGAGCCTCAAGAACCTAGAAGCCCCGGGCCCCTGAGAGAGCCCTTAGGCCGGTCGTTCGTTGGACTGTTCCAAGACAAGACTGGGTCAGGGAGAACGACTCGGGAGGCTTTGGAACACGTACAGACCCAGCGGCTAAATCGACCCTAGATGCCTCGTGGAAGAAATGGTCGAACGGGTCCGATGCCACCTGAACTGGGTCCGGCGCGGGACGTTTTCTGACTCTTGGGGATCATGACGTGGGGCTGACTCGAACGACGAGCAAGCAAGGCAAGGCACCGACCAAGTACGGATAGAGAGAGTCGCAGGTAACTACCTAGCCACCTAATTACCACCCGGGCCTGTAGTTCGATATAGCACCAGGCTAGGTGGGCAAGCGCCCATATCGTCGAGGCGGCCGCGTGACCGAGACGCCGACAAAAAGGAAGCCAACAATCGAGTCGGTGAGACAATGTGCTAGACAAACAACCAAGTCAAGTCGTGCGTGAATGGAGATGATGGGGGGAAACAAAGACGTGTTCGACCAGTTGTGGTGGACGACTGAGATTTAGACTTTGAGGCGAAACACGTTTGGTCTGTTGGACGGTAGAACACGAGTAGAAGTGCAGACGACTACACCCGTTGTAGGCCGCCGCGTCGGACGGAGGGTCGGAGCGTGTGAGTCTAATGAATCGGGGTCCCGGCGCAAATCGGTTTTGAATTCCGGCCGGTCAACAATACGGTCCCAGTCTTCAACTCCAAGAAGCAAGACAATATGCATGCATGTATGTCGCAAACAGGGGCAGACTGCAAAGCGCCGAGTTTATTTCTGCACTGTCCCGCGGCCCAACAGTTCGGCGCATTCTTCTGCTCGCTCAATCAAACCGGCTTTAGCCCCATTTCGGGTCGTGACGGAGACCCGTCACCGGAGGGCCCCAGAAGACTCCGGCATCAGGGCCGGCAGGTGGTCTGCGTTGGCCGGCTGTCTCTTTGTCTCTGTCTGTCTGTCTGTGTCTCTGTCTGTGCATGCAGACAGACAGACTTTTTGTGATGAACGGTCGTGACTCTCCGGGCTGCAGGCGCCTGCGTCAGAGGGTTGCATTGCATTTCCGCGGTCATCATCGGCCATGCACATGGGAAACATCTTGTCAAGTTGCCAATATCCACGATGTCTCTGATAGGCATGGTTGGCACCATAATCCCGTCTTCGTTTCCACGTCGATTCGGCCTGACGTGACTATCCAGGGCTCTCCAAATCAGTACCCTTGAACGTCCGGGGTGACACGAGACCGGGGTGCTATGTATAATCGGCAGAATCGGGAAACCTCTTCATGTTGGGTGCTGGTTGATTGTTGGGTGTATAATTGGTCGAGAATAGAAGCTTGAAATATCACATTGAGAATAGTGGAGGTCAGGAATGGTATCAATAGGAGAGGGCACTCGAAGTGAGCCACAGCTCAGAACGGTATGGGGAATATGGGGCCAGAAAGAAGCCAGAAGCATTGTAGTCATTGGGCTTGTCGCCAAAGGAGGCCCAGAAGACATATTCAAGGGTCTGGTGGCCGTTGTGAATAGGGCCGTTCTTGGGCATGGGCCATGTCGAGATGGAGAATTGAGGATGGGCTGGGCTGTTGGATGCTTGTGTCCTCGACCAACAGATCCGCAGGCGTCCGGAAGAAGCAGGGAGGCCGTGATGTCGAGTCCGAGGGTGCTTCACAAACCAGGAGGCGTCATCCAGGCCAGGTTGGAACACGACGCCGGAGACCTGAATCTGGCGTACGAGGCTCTCACGAGACGCAACCTGTAGGGCTTTGTTGCGCCCGCTCCTCAGCCTAGGCCCCGTCTGCGTTGTCGGCCACAGATTGAATAATGACACAAAAGGCGCACACAACAAAAAGCGTTGCCGCCAAAGCGAAGAACGAGATGGAGGACAGTCGAGGCCGCCCCCAGGCCGCCCCAGTAATG